AGGATCGGACGGAGATGTGACGGTGCACCATCGCCGGAGAATAAACGCGAGATCGGGAAGTGTTCTCGGCCGACGTTCCTCTGGTGAGCATTCGTTTCTTTTTAGGCAGTTCAGCAGTTCGTTCGGGAAACGGGGATACGTCCACGTTCGTTGCATTCCTGTGGGCATTCGCGATTCCAACATGGCCGCTGGGACTAGCCGTGACCGCTGGGTCCGCGGAAGCCATGTTGGCAGGTGTGCTCGACTCGAGATAACCAGTTCACGTTCGTGGAACGCACGCGGCTCGACAAACGGGAGCGAGTTCCACGTATTATCGGGGAATCGGATGGAAAATGCGATATAACGAGGAGCCATAACTGCCTCGCTATCGGGCACGAACACCTTCGGCTTGGGACTAATTAGATTTTTATTACATATCCGACACTACATCTCCAATTATTAGAAAGATCTCCCTCTTGTGATCTTTAGGAGATTTTATCAATTAGCTGTGCATATCGAGATGATCAATTTTTGATACACAAATAAGCTTGTTGACACAAGGTGCAATTTAGAGTAGTGCAAGTTTTTTTGCCGATTGAAATTTATGTGGAGATATAATCTGAGAATATTGGGAAGGTCGCGGGAGAATTGGAGGATTAATTGATACGTGAAAACAATAGACATTGATGTTTAATGGGAGTCACGGACGAATGGCAAGATGGCGGATATGTTTAACACGGTTTACGTTTAACCTTGTCACGTGGATACTCGTGTTTGGTAGGAATAGTTGAAAAGAGCATTGCTCACACACTTCGCTATTATTTTTGGAAGTCTCTTAATTACTTTTGTAGAGTCTTTTTAGAAGATAGTTGAGTGAGGTAGATTTAGAAGGTTAAGGGAAAGAAGCGTTTTAAACGCGACTGAAGTCCTTGAATCGCGTTTCCAAGGCATTTCGTAATCGAAGTATACGTTACCATTTTGCAATGAGATGAAAGTCTTTTTAGAACTCGCTACTTCGAGATATTACAGCTGGTTTAATTTCGTCTTAAAAAATTTTGAAATACGTGAAATTCTATTGAATGAAAAGACACATTTTTAGTTTCATAATTGAAATATGAATTTTGGAAGAATTAGAACTTAATTAAGGTGGTTTACAAAGAGGAAATTTATTGAAAATTAGATATGTGGACATTTATAGAATAAATAAAATTGAAGTAGGTAGACCAAGTTTCTTTGTTATTGTTAAAAATATTTATGATAGGAGAAATCTTTACAGAAGGTCTGCTTAGATCAAAACGTTAAATTTGTTAAAAATAATGAAGATCAAAATTAAATACAAGACACGTAAAATGAGAACAATTTTCTGTGTTAAGAAAACATAAAAGAAATAGTAGATTGTATTGTTTTAATGTAACGCAGATATTTCTGATTCATTCATCATCGCTATGGCATGTAAATGTATAAACTTTCATACTCATATCACATTTGAATAAAAAACCGATGTACTTAATGCTGTAGCATTTCGGTTACATAATTATTTCAAAAGCATTTAAATAATGGAAACAATTAAATTAAATTATAGAAATCCACAGGTAGCTTCGAGTGAGATAAAATATTCTTCAAAATATGCAAAATTTATGTAAGAATATAAAATATTCGTTTGGACTTGAATATGTTTTACATGAAGATTATATGATGATTATATGATGCTTTAGACAATGATTTATAAGATGATTATATGATTATACGATTATATAATTCTTTGCATTATTATCAGGGTTGCCAGATGAGTTGCCAATGTCCATCAGATACCACTAATATAAATAATATAAATAATACAAACAATGCAATAACAAGTCTTATTGACACATTTTTGCAAATAATAAATACTTTGAAAAATAACTGCGTTCACTGTTCAAAACAGGACACCCTATATAGCGACAGACGTAGACAGGGATGACTTACGAAGTCATCCCTATTTACGTCCCCACTGCCAACCTTGACTATGATTCATGCAATGATTTTTTTTTGCATACATGAAGTGATCATGCACATGAAGCATTGTTTCATAGCCAAACTTTCACAATTGTAATACGAACCTTCATACGTAAATTGTCCTCAAAGAACAGTGAAAGAGGTTACCAATGTTAATTCTCTGTGTAATTTGTGATCGTAGAGACCTAATCGCTGTTTCATACTCAGTCAGACTTTCAATAGAAATAAGAGAGACCTTCCAATAACAAGACCTTCCAATAACGAGACCTTCCAATAATGTTTTGATGCAAATCTAGTTTACTATTTAGGTGATCCGTGATCAGTAGGGTTGATTAAAATTGCAGGTGTCATCGGTATGCCGACAGACATCGTGGCGTCGTCGGCCTCGGCCTCGGCCACGATCTCGGAAGAGACGAGCAGAGGTCGCGAGCTGGGCCTTGGGCCGTCTCCAAGGTCAGCTCCCTCTTCAGCGGGCGCATCATCCTCAGGATCAGCGGCACAGTCGACCTCCAGGGGTTTCGACCCGTCTAGCGCCCTGGCCGCTTATCACCACCATCGACATGGCCTAGTTGCCGGCCTGGGTCATCCTCATCACCGTGAATCGTCGGCGTTCGTGCCCGTCGTGCCCTCGCGGTTGCATCTGGCGCCCTATCCGGGGGAGATGCACCCCCACCTAACTGGGCCACCACCCTCCTCGTCGACCGCGTCCAATCCTGACCACGAAGTGGCGGAGACCGCCGTGGCCAGGAAATCCTCGTCCAGCTACGAGATCATGGCTATGATGGTCGACAAGAGAAAAGAGCTGGCCGCGAGGGCTCTTCTTCTTCCTCCACCACCCCTTCTGGAACCGCCACCCGGCTACCCCGTCTTCGCGGGCCCTTTTCCCGGCGGTTCGGCTCTGTACCCTCCGGGTGGACCCCTGGCGCACCAGCATTTGGACAGGAGACTACTCAGGGCGCCTGGGAGAGCGTCCAGACCTAAGAAGCAGTTCATTTGTAAATTTTGTAACCGACAGTTCACGAAGTCGTATAATCTGCTGATTCACGAGAGGACACACACGGACGAACGACCATACTCCTGCGATATATGCGGCAAGGCTTTCAGGAGACAGGATCACCTTCGAGATCATAGGTAATTTTTATTGTATGCGGTTTATATTCATGGGTACTTTGCGATATGTTTGTGGGCGTTTGGTAGCAGACTTTCTTCTGCATAATTATAGCAGGGTTTATGTGTGCTGTGGCATATGTGGACGTGTGTGGTCTACGTTTATGAATATATGGGTTTCAATAAGTTTGTGAAGATGTGTTTGATTGTGGACATTATTTCACATAATTATTGTTAGTAGGTTTTGTGTACAATGGTTTTTCACTTAGAGCCATATATGATTTTTCTTATATAGCCATGTGTGGTTACATTCACACATATGTGATTTTTAATATTCTTTTCAGGTATGTTTGGTAGAGATATCTTATATTGTTAATGTTTAGAGATGTATGATTTTTAATAAACTTGTAAGGGACATTCTATATTATAACTTCATCGTAAACATAAATTTTAATTGCAATTATGAAAATTTTAACTCAGATATTTCAAAGCACACTTGTTTTTAAAAAGAGTCTTGTATAATCCGCGAATCTGTTGACGTAAATATCTCGTACCTACATCGATTAATCTCAGCAATAATTAACTTTTTTCTTCTGAAAAAATGTGTATAAACAGACATATTTGTAAACAATTAAAATATCATTATACTTGATGAAATGCACAAAAAAATGAATGTTAAATATCACACCGCGTTTACCAGCAAGATTGAATATTAATAAAATCATTGTTATTCAGAAGCACTTGCTGTATTCCCGATTACCTTAATTCCAAATTATGATACGAACACGGAAAAAAAGTTAATAAGATTACCGCTCGATCATATTTCATTCGAACATGTAGAATCACGATGAAGTTACTACATGCGGTTTCCTCAAAGGAAAATTAATTTGAATTTATTTAAACCTTTATCAAAAGCTACTTGAATATTTTACGAAAATTTATGCAAATTTCATGCAACTCCATAGATGTATTCCGCATGCATAAACATGATGCTTAAAGAAATTCATAGTATGTATTATACATCATGCAGATGAGACAAGATAATTGCTACTGAAAGCGATTAATTTTAGCCTACTTAATAATTAATCGAGATAAAAGTTAAGATATAAACAGTGTTATATAAGTATGAATAGATATGAATATTATGGGTTGCTCTATTCACCAATTACCTTAATCTGAAGATAATCTGAAATTAATTTAACGCTAAGTTAAGGTAATATTCAGTTAATCTAACATCGGTGTTATTTAAGTTGATCTAACAAGATTACAACATCGAGGGTACTAAACATCTTATTAATTTGATAGTAAAGTAGTTTAACATTGATCTGGCATCAAATTAATCCAAGGTTGAGTAAATCTAACATTAAATGAATTTGAGACAGAATTAATTTAGCATTAATCTATCATATGAATTTGACAGTAAATTAATCTAACATTAATCTCATATCAGATGTATTCATAGTTAAGTAAATCTAACATTAAATGAATTTGAGACGGAATTAATTTAGCATTAATTTATCATATGAATTTAACGTTAAATTAATCTAACATTAATCTCACATCACATTAATTCAAGATTAAGTAAATCTAACGTCCAATGAATTTGTCACTAAATTTAGCATTAATGTAACAACATATGAATTTGACACTAAAAGCATTAATCTAACATCAAATGAATTCGTCATTAAATTTAGTATTAATCTATCATATGAATTTGACACTAAATTAATCTAACATTAATCTCACATCAAACTAATCGAAGGCCAAGTAAATCTGACATCAAACAAATCTGTCACTAAATTTAGAATTAATCTAACATCACACCGTTGCTTAGTTACCCCAGAATTAGCCTTAGAACTCAAAATTAACCATAAAACCCAGAATTAACCTCAGACAAAAAAACTAAAACTAAACGAACTGAAACCATTCTGATCTCCTTGCAGGTACATCCACAGCAAAGAGAAGCCCTTCAAATGCGGCGAGTGCGGTAAAGGTTTCTGTCAGAGCCGCACCCTAGCAGTGCACAAGATCCTGCACATGGAGGAGTCCCCACACAAGTGTCCAGTGTGTGCCCGCAGCTTCAATCAGCGCAGCAACCTGAAGACCCACCTTCTAACCCACACGGACCACAAACCATACGAGTGTACCTCTTGCGGCAAGGTGTTCCGCAGGAACTGCGACCTGAGGAGGCACGCGTTGACCCACGCAGTGGGCGACGTGCCCCCCGAAGCCCTCGAGGAGGCCCTCAGAGACGACGACAGCCCCGAGGAAGATTGTCCGGAAGCAAGTTCATCCTCCACGTCGGTGTCCACGAATTCTTCCTTGCCGACCGGCTCCACGAACGCCACATATCCTCAAGGTTCATCAGGACCGCAACCACCCCCAGCTCCAGCCTCTTCGTCTCTTCCGCAGAGACCGCAGTTGCAGATCAGAAGAGACTTACTTCCAGCTGCGAAACCGTCCACGGTGACCAGCGGAGGATCCGGCAGCCATTCGGTCACTCAGAATCCTCCGGCGGCGCTACCACCGCCTCCGCCGTTAATTTTGTCCTCGTACAGGCGAAGGATCGGATCGCCAGGTCCGTCTAGAATGCTCCTGGAACTCCAGGAACGCGAGAGGGAAAGAGAACGAGAGATCGAACAGAGCAGGGAGAGGGAACGGGAGAGGGACAGAGAACGAGAGGAAGAGGTGACACGACCTCCTAGAGCACCCACCCCGCAACCTCCACCGCCGCCGAGACCCACCCCTGCCAGACAAGGATTCACCATAGCGGACATCATGCGTCGATAGGCGATCGATCTCCTGTGAAATTAGGCCAAAGGGGAGGACTTGTCCGGACTTTGTTGGAAGTGGCTTTAGATTGTTAAACGCTTTTGCTGTTGTGTATTGAGCATGGTAGTCTTCTTTTGAGAATTGGCGATATGGGAGATGCAAATTTTTGTGGATCTAATTTTATTTTTGCGATTTGGGTTTATAATGCAATGTTACCTTGTAGAAAGTAAATGAAGGAATGGAGTACATGAATTATTTTACTTTGATGAAATTGTAATTTTAATGATTTTAATTATACTTCGAGTATGATATTCGTATTGTAACTAATACTGGGGTGAGTGGAGATCGCATTGCTGTTTTTCCTAGGGATTGTACAAGTAGTGGGAACTTCTAGGACAAATGGCGACGTAGAGAAACTTCACCATTCGTAATATCTCAGTTATCAAAATATCAAAATTGTCAAAGTAATGTTTCAGTTATAAAAATACCAAAATTGTCAAAGTAATTTTTCAGAATTATGTACCAACTTTTTAAAATTAATCTCAAATTTTTAAGTACATAACTCAGTACATAAACAATTATATAAACAACCACAAATAATAACATAAACTACATAAAAATCCTTCAGTATATAAACAAATATAAGAAATAAGACGTCCAATAAATTTTTAAGCGTGAAAAATTCCTGTATCGCCATTTTGTATAAAGAAGGCTATTGTGTTCGCTATATGGCCGAAACGAGGAACGTTGCACAGCGGTAAAAATACTGTCACGAGAATGAGAAGATATTTTTTGATAAATTTTGGTGTACAATGCGAAGATAAAAATTATTAAATTGTTGCATTGTTTTTTTAGTTTATTGAACTTTGAATTCGGATCGCCAGGTCCGTCTAGAATGCTCCTGGAACTCCAGGAACGCGAGAGGGAAAGAGAACGAGAGATCGAACAGAGCAGGGAGAGGGAACGGGAGAGGGACAGAGAACGAGAGGAAGAGGTGACACGACCTCCTAGAGCACCCACCCCGCAACCTCCACCGCCGCCGAGACCCACCCCTGCCAGACAAGGATTCACCATAGCGGACATCATGCGTCGATAGGCGATCGATCTCCTGTGAAATTAGGCCAAAGGGGAGGACTTGTCCGGACTTTGTTGGAAGTGGCTTTAGATTGTTAAACGCTTTTGCTGTTGTGTATTGAGCATGGTAGTCTTCTTTTGAGAATTGGCGATATGGGAGATGCAAATTTTTGTGGATCTAATTTTATTTTTGCGATTTGGGTTTATAATGCAATGTTACCTTGTAGAAAGTAAATGAAGGAATGGAGTACATGAATTATTTTACTTTGATGAAATTGTAATTTTAATGATTTTAATTATACTTCGAGTATGATATTCGTATTGTAACTAATACTGGGGTGAGTGGAGATCGCATTGCTGTTTTTCCTAGGGATTGTACAAGTAGTGGGAACTTCTAGGACAAATGGCGACGTAGAGAAACTTCACCATTCGTAATATCTCAGTTATCAAAATATCAAAATTGTCAAAGTAATGTTTCAGTTATAAAAATACCAAAATTGTCAAAGTAATTTTTCAGAATTATGTACCAACTTTTTAAAATTAATCTCAAATTTTTAAGTACATAACTCAGTACATAAACAATTATATAAACAACCACAAATAATAACATAAACTACATAAAAATCCTTCAGTATATAAACAAATATAAGAAATAAGACGTCCAATAAATTTTTAAGCGTGAAAAATTCCTGTATCGCCATTTTGTATAAAGAAGGCTATTGTGTTCGCTATATGGCCGAAACGAGGAACGTTGCACAGCGGTAAAAATACTGTCACGAGAATGAGAAGATATTTTTTGATAAATTTTGGTGTACAATGCGAAGATAAAAATTATTAAATTGTTGCATTGTTTTTTTAGTTTATTGAACTTTGAATTTTGCAAGAGATATGGTATCTTTTATAAAGAAACAGAAATATACTTTTTGTTCTCGAAAATAGAAAAGATAGGATAGTGTTTAGATAAAATTGGAACACTGACAATATTAGAAACGTTTAGTATAAAAGATTGTATTGATTCATATTTTTGTACTTGGAATTAGATGTAACGTTTATAGATTGTTGTTTTGAGAATCGATTATACTACTCTTTGTACATATCTTAAATAAAATTTGTACATATATATCGAATTGTTGACTTGCCAGAGAGAATCACGAAATGTACGATACAAATTGTACTAAAGAACTACTAAATTTTTATTGTGATTTCGATGTGATTAAATCGTGACAATGTTTTTGCTGTCATGTGATTCAGATCGTTGGCAATTAAAACATGTGACGTGTGGTTACAAGTGGCTGTATTTTGCATCGAATAAAAGTGGAGAAAAACAGAGAAAAACTGTGAGAAGAGTACAACGTGCAAAAGTTGAAAGTTTTAACTTTGATAAAAATTTATTGCATTAGTTTATTAAGGAAATAATTGTATATAAAAAAAAACGAATTGAAATTCAGTTAACAATCAAAGCTGAATTTCATTTTACATGTTGTATATGAATGTCAATCTCGTACTTTTATATTTACTATGTTAGATTAACTGTAAATCGAACAAAGATTTAACACGTTCCATGTCTCGAACAAATGCTTCAATTTTTTATTGGTCTTTTTATCCATTTTATTGGGGAATTTTAATAGCAATATGAATTGTTTTTACATTGGTGAAATTATGTTTTTAAAATTTGTGACAAGAGTGGAACTTGTTAATTAGTATCAAAGTTTTTTTGCAATTACAATGTTGAATTTGTAATTTACGAATGATACAGAATGAACGTAAGAATCGAAGTAATTGAACGCTTGTGTTAAATTATATTTTCAGGAAGACAGTTCAAATTTACATTAACCCATTGTTTTCTGATTTTTAGTTATTGGAAAATGGTAGTGCAATTTTTTCAAATTAAAAAACACAGATTTAGGAATTTAGGAGGATTTTAGTTATTTAAGTTTGTGGTTGTACATTTTCAAATTTTCAAATTTTCAAACATTCAAATATTTGGATACAAATGTTAGAATTTGAGATCTTGAAGATTTGAGAATTTGCTGATTTGGAAATTTGAGAATGCAAGAACTTGAAAATTGAAAAATTTCCTAATTTGGAAATTTCAGAATTTGACAATTCGAAATTTAGAAACTTGGATATCTTACATTTGAGATTTTTCAAAAATTAAGGAAATGTAAAAATTTAGGGATTTGAAAATTTTTTACAAGCTTGAAAATATGAAAATTCAATTATTATTCAAGCTTTAATTTTGCATATTTTTTCACTAAAAAATGAAAGATAAAATACAAATTTTTTCTCCCACAAAATAATATAGTGAAGGGTTAATGTCTTTTGTAACTGCAATCTTATTTATAAGATTAGTATAAAAGTGTATAAAGTTTCTCCTAAATTATACAGGGTGTTTCACAAGAAGGGTTACTGTTCATACCATATATACTCGTTAAAATTGATATAATTTTGTATATTTCAAGTTTATAAGTATTATGTATATTTAGTGCAATACACAAATTTACAAATTGATTTATGGATCACAATATTAGAACAACATAACAAAAAATTAAGTTCTAATATTCATATGTTTATGTATCTTTCACACATTTTTATACATAGGTACAAACACAACATATAACAAAAATTCTAATTCTAATTCTAAAATACTATTTAAAGTAAAAGATGAAACACAACTTCAGTTTCATCAGTTCGCACCCATGTTGCATATAAACTTCATAACCTCAAATATAAATTAAAATGAAAATCCAACGTAAACATTCAATAGTCACAACTGCATTTAAAATTAATACAAGGTGTATCACTGAAATGTATCAAAATTAATTATGACACAGAAAATGTCAGTAAAATGGAACAAAACAAATCACAATATAAGAAGTATCTCTAAAATGAAACATAACTAATCACAATACAAACCATTTCACTAAATAGCAGTAAAACTAATCATAACATAGAAAGTATCTCTAAAATGAAAGATAACTAATCACAGTACAAAAATTTCACTAAACTGAAGTAAAACTAATAATAACACAGAAAGTATTACTAAAATGAAACAAAACTAATCACAACACAAAAAGTATTACTATAATAAAACAAACCTATCCAACAGAAAAATTATCACAAAAATGCAGTCACAAAAATGTCACTATTCTGCAACAAATTTGAAAATCTTCCAAAAAATGTCTCAAATTTATTGTAAAATACAGCACTGACGTTGCTCCAAAATATCGTAACCCTTCTTATAAGACACCCGTATACAAGCAAAACATCAAGCATGTATGATCGTAGACTCCGAAAAGAAGAGCGTTAAAAATGTGCCTTAGTATCAGCAATCACGCGACAAGAGACGGCTATTCAGAGAGTCGGAAGAAAGAATGGTGTGTTTGCATGAAAAAAAAGGAGGGTGCCATGTATGAAGAGGGATAAGAAGAGACTATAAAAACGCGTCTATTGTCGAGTAGAGGATTGAAGGAGAGGATAATGCAAATTCGTTGGCCACAGGAACAACCTGTGCCACCGTTGCCACAGGTGACAGGTGCAATAGGTGTCGAAGCTACTTCGTTTCGGTGGTACCTGCTCCCTTCTAAAAATATTTCCGACCCTAGACGAGCACCGTCCTCTTTTTTCTCCTATTCTACATCGATGGAGAGGATCATTAGGGGTCCTTTGTGACCCGAGATACACCGTCCAACCGCAACGATGATCCCCTCGGTTTTACTGCCGCTCGGAACGAGCTTTATTCTCGAATGGAAACGAACGCCAGGGGAACGTCTGTGGAATTTCGAATCTTCGGCTTCTTTAATTTCTGGCGGGTTCTAAACTTTCTGTGCTGGAATTTTTAGAGGTCTTCGGTTATTTATTTTTTGGTTGGGGGTTGGGAGTTTGGGAAGGTTTGAGGACTTTGAGGTTTTGGCAGATTTGAAAGTTTTGAAGGTTTTAGTTTTATGGTTTGCTTGTTTTCTAGATTTTTAAATTTCTAGTTTTCTAGTTTTCTAGTTTTCTAATTTTCTAGTTTTCTAGTTTTCTAGTTTTCTAGTTTTTTAGTTTTCTAGTTTTCTAGTTTTCTAGTTTTCTAGTCTTCTAGTTTTCTGCTATTCCAGTTTCCTACTTTTCTAGTTTTCTAGATTTCTAAAGTATTTGAAAGTATTTAAATTTTCCAAGCATTCACATATCTAATTTCTCAAACATCATACACTAGAGTTCTCCAATACCCAAATTTTCAAATTTCTAAATTTTGAAGTCTTCAAGCTTCCAAATTCTCAAAATCACAAATTTCTAAATTAACAACTTTCCATATTATGAAATTCTCAAATTTCCAAGTTCCACATTTGAAATTTGAAATAAATACAAATCTCCAAATTTACTACTCCAAAATTAGCTATCATATGAACCTAATAACAAGTTTAATTTATTAAAATTAACATACAAACATCGAACGTGACAACACAGAATTTTTCTTCATTAAAAAGCAAGTAGAAAAGAAGTGTTCGTTTAGGGATCAACGAACGGAACATAATCGATGGAAATGAAGCAACAATAATCTCTATTTTGAGATGTACACGTAACAGTAGGAATGAAATTCCGTGTACTGATGTCAACCTATGAGTTGGCGCGTGAAGAGGCTGAGGTGTTTAGAAGAGCTATTCCAGTTGGTCAGAGTAGAAAAATAGACGCCACGCATCTGTATTTTTCTTTTACTTAAATTGGTACAACGCCAGGTTGCTATATTCTCATATTTATACATTCCAGAATCTCTACATTTCCAAATCCCTCCATTCCCAAATTTCCATACTCCAAAATTCTCACGCAACTAAATTCCAATGTCTCCAAATTCCAACGTCCCCAAATCCCAACGTCCACAAATACCAACGTCTCCAAATCCCAACGTCTCCAAATCCCAACGTCCCCAAATCGCAACGTCTCCAAATCCCAACGTCCGCAAATACCAACGTTTCCAAATCCCAACGTCCCCAAATCGCAACGTCCCCAAATTCCAACGTCCGCAAATACCAACGTTTCCAAATCCCAACGTCCCCAAATCGCAACGTCTCCAAATCCCAACGTCCGCAAATACCAACGTTTCCAAATCCCAACGTCCCCAAATCGCAACGTCTCCAAATCCCAACGTCCGCAAATACCAACGTTTCCAAATCCCAACGTCCCCAAATCGCAACGTCTCCAAATCCCAACGTCCGCAAATACCAACGTTTCCAAATCCCAACGTCCCCAAATCGCAACGTCTCCAAATCCCAACGTCCGCAAATACTTCAACTTCCCCAATTCCAACCTTGCCAAATCCCTACATCTCCAAATCCCTACATCCCCAAATTCCCATATTCAAAAATCTCACACACCCAAATCACCACAACCCCAAATCGCCAATCCCCAAATTCCTACATTCCCGAATACCTACACTTCCAAATCCCTACCTCCCCAACTCCCTCCATTCCCAAATTCCCTTATTCCAAAATTCT